CACACCCCAGTGCAAGCAACACTAAAAAAATCACTCAAAAACTGGGCATATGGATTTGGAATTGTAGCTGTTATAAGTTTTTAAATCTTAATTTCTCCCCTTATTTATTGGCTTATTTCCTAAGAGGTTGCTCCTTTCCAGGTCCTGGGGAACTCTGATCTTCCTAAACGAATACAAAGGAAAACAATCAAATGAAAAAACAAAAAACACCAAAAACTGCTGCGGGGAGAAAAGGCTTTGCTCCGGAGCCGGCAGTGGACAGCAGAGTAGGTGGAAGGCGAAGCCGCAGCGGAGGAATTCGGTGAGTCCAGGACAAATGGGGGCGTGGCGCGCGCTCGGTCCTGGGAACCTCCGCCAACAAAACTTCTAAAGGTTCGCGGAGGGGGCGGGGGAAGGATGTAGCGACTCCGGAGGGAGGGAACCAGGGCCCTCGGAGGGGTCAGGGCTGCGAAGGGCAGAGCGGCGTCGCAGAGGTTTGGGAACCCCTGATCCAGCGAGCGGCTGGCTGGGTGGAAGTCAGGCCCCCGGGGATCCGGCCGCCCTGGCTGTCAGACGCCCCAGGAGCCGCCGCAGACCCGGCAGCGCTCCGAGGGGGCGAGGCCGCCGGCTGTGGTTGGCGGGGAGGGGTGGGCGGAGTGGGGAAGCGGCGTCGCCCCTGTCGCCCCCGCCCTCTCCGATGTCATTGGGCGGCCGCCTCGGGGTCCGCGCCACCTTTTCCCCGTCGCACCCCGCCCTCCCCGCTGCGCTCGTTCGGGGGCCGGTCCGGCCCTGGCCGTTGACGTCACCTCCAAGTTTGCTGCCCTCGGAGCCCCGCGTGTGGCTGCAGCGACGGCCCGGGAGGCGGCGAGCGCAGTGGCCACGGCTGCTGACAGGTCCCGCGCAGCCCGGCTTGGCCACGCCGCTCCCAGGTGGGGCCCGAGAGCCGCCGGAGCGGCCGGGCGCGCACCAAGAGGGTCGGACGGCTCGGTGCGGGCCCTCTGGCTCTCGCTCGGGTAGAGGGACTCGGGGGACCTCGCCCCGGGGCCGAGAGCGCGCGCCCAGGCGGGCCGGGGACCGAGGAAGCGGCAGCTGGGAGGCACTGTCCCCGCCGCGGTCTGCAGCGCACGGAGCTCAGCGGCCCCAGAGCCGCACGTCCCCTCACCGGGACCGAGCGAGGGATGCACGATAGCTGAGCTGGGACTCGCGCCGAGAGGCCGTTTCGGCCCGGGTCTGAGACGCACGTCTTCGCCGCCACCGCCGCCGACACCCCCATTCCGGCGACTCTCGGGGACCGGGGGCGCCTAGCGCGGCTCCGGGCTCAGGACTCGGGCGATTCTCAGACGATGGTTTCTTAAGCACGGCACCACGTCCCCCTTCCCGCCCCCTCGACCGGAGGCTGGGATCCAGTGCGGGGCTCCGGGGAGCCAGGCTCCCCGAGGAGCCTCGGCTGCCGCCGCCCGGGCAGCTCGCACGGCCGCAGGGGCGCAGGGCGATGTGGCCTCCGGCCAACGCGCCGGCCCCCCCGGAGGATACCACGGCACCTGGCGGAGTCCCGGCCTAGCATGGCCCGCGCGCTGCCCGACGTCGCCTCCGGCTAGGATGGCCCCTCCGGCCCCGGCCGGCTCCCACCCCACCTCGGCCGAGCCGCTGTCCCGCAGCATCTTCCGGAAGTTCTTGCTGATGCTCTGCTCCCTGCTTACGTCCCTCTACGTCTTCTACTGCCTGGCCGAGCGCTGCCAGACCCTGTCGGGCCCCGTCGTGGGGCGGACGGGCGGTGGCAAGGAGGCGGGGGCCCCGGGTCGCGGCGTCCCGGCGGGAGGCGCGGGGGAGCCAGTGGCGTGGCCCGCGGTCGCGCGAAGGAAGCGCCTCCTGCAAATGCAGCCGTGGCCGAGGCGCTGGCCGCCCGCGCCGCGGGAAGACAGCGAGGTGGCGGCCTGGGAAGAGGAGCCCCCTGGCCTGGCGGGGAGTCCCGGCGGCTCCGGGGCCGGGAGCAGCGTGGCCGAGACGCCGCCGGGGACCCTGGCCCTGCTGCTGGACGAAGGCAGCAAGCAGCTGCCGCAGGCCATCATCATCGGCGTGAAGAAGGGCGGCACGCGGGCGCTGCTCGAGTTCCTGCGCGTGCACCCCGACGTGCGCGCCGTGGGCGCCGAGCCCCACTTCTTCGACCGCAGCTACGACAAGGGCCTCGCCTGGTACCGGTGAGCTGGGGCCGGAGAAGGCGGGCAGGCGGGGGCGGCCAGAGCCCGGGGTAGGGGCTTGAGGAGCCCGTGGTGACGCCCACCCAGTTCATCGCCCTCCCCGGTTTCATGCAGAGGGCAGAGGGCCCTCGGTAGCTGTCCTTAAGATGAGGGGTCTCCTTCCCCACGCTGCCTTCTCCCGGGGAAGAGGGAGCGGGTCGCAGGGAAATTTTGGCCTTGCAGATTTTGTCTTTAGTTCTTGGAATTCCCTTTTCCCCAAATAACCAATCTCATCATTTTCTCCTGCTTTGTGAAAGTTTCCCTGTGCGTAGCTAAAGAGAGAAAAAAAAGAAACATGTCTCTTCCAAGTTAGAAACCTGTTCACCAATTACTAGATACGTGAGCTAGTGGATCCCTTTCCCAAGGAAGCCTGTTTTTATTTCTTCTTCATCTTCTGGGCGATTCCCTGCGGTTAACGCAGCCTTTGCCATCATCGCCTGTTTATTTATTTACCTCAACTCTTTGCCTAATTGTCCTAGGTAGTAAGTAATATAGACACTGAGTTAAAGTGTCAAGAACTAGACTCTAGGTTTTGGGGAGATATATGTGAGAGCAGCGTGCTTTAAAGACGGCTTCGTTGGCAATAACTTTTGTTTGGGGCTAGGAATGACTTTGTATAAAATGCTTTCTGTATTTGTAGGGAAGAGTACCTTTTGTCTCTGGACTGGCAGAAACTTTTCTAAAGCTCTCCAAACAATTCCCTTTAAAAATGAGGTAGACAAAAGTTTTTGAAAGGAAGAAACGTGGGGAAAAATAGAGATCCTGGTTACATTGTGAAAAACTCTCCTAATACAGTGTAGGAAACAAGTCTGATTTAGGTCTTAACCTTAAACTTACCAGTCTTCTCAAATTCAAACCACCTTTAATAATAGAATAAGCCAAACTCTAATAAATCTTAGTGTCACCTGGATTTTGTTTGCCATAAAATATTGGCCTTTTTTTCTTTCCTCTGAGTATATGGAAAAATAGGCCAGAATTTTCCACTTTACAGAGTTTTATCTTGTTCATTAAATTTGCAGTCTCCTTGTTATCTTGACTGAAATCATAGGACAAAAGTTACAATACCATTTAAATATATTTCAAAAGCCCATTCAATTAACCGTTCATCCCCAAAAGAGAAATGGATGTGATTTGACAAGTTTATTTACTTGAGGGTCAAGCACAGGAAGCAAATTTACAGTAACCCAACTCATGAGAAAACGTTTGGTCCTAAAAGTCGAACTAGAACGTTAAACATGTTTAAAACAGTAACTTTCCATTTGTTGGAGAGGAAGACAAACAACCTTCCCTTGCTATAGAATATATATCATTTAAAATCATCAGCCACTTAAAAAATCCCCTTGTGTTTCTGTCATTTATGTTGTATCCTCTGGGAAGTTCTTATAAAAATGACCTGTTGAATCTGGAAACAACAGGTCCTTCTTCTTAGCACAAAGGCAGCTCTGTTTTTTCCATCAAGGACACAAGAAAGAAGTGATTAAAGACCCCTAAAACTCTTATCTATAGCACTTTGCATTGTATGTGGCCTGGTACAGGGCTATAAGTGAACACATTTCAAGCCGACTGCCCAAAAACATCTAAGACAGTGTTGGACTCTGAGGTGCTATTAAATATGGTGAAATATTTAGTACTAAAACCCTTTATTTTCATTTTGCTATATAGCCTTTATTTCCAGTCCTAGACTGTTTCTTCCTCGTCCAGAAATGAGTATTTGGGGGCACAGTGTATCCACAGAGCTGGATCTTATTTTCCGTTGACCTTTCTGAGCTTGTGTAAGAGAAGGAAGGTTTCAAGGTAACTAGAAACACAAGTACTTAAAAAAAAAAAAAAAAAAAAAATGGGAACCCCTGATCCAGCGAGCGGCTGGCTGGGTGGAAGTCAGGCCCCCGGGGATCCGGCCGCCCTGGCTGTCAGACGCCCCAGGAGCCGCCGCAGACCCGGCAGCGCTCCGAGGGGGCGAGGCCGCCGGCTGTGGTTGGCGGGGAGGGGTGGGCGGAGTGGGGAAGCGGCGTCGCCCCTGTCGCCCCCGCCCTCTCCGATGTCATTGGGCGGCCGCCTCGGGGTCCGCGCCACCTTTTCCCCGTCGCACCCCGCCCTCCCCGCTGCGCTCGTTCGGGGGCCGGTCCGGCCCTGGCCGTTGACGTCACCTCCAAGTTTGCTGCCCTCGGAGCCCCGCGTGTGGCTGCAGCGACGGCCCGGGAGGCGGCGAGCGCAGTGGCCACGGCTGCTGACAGGTCCCGCGCAGCCCGGCTTGGCCACGCCGCTCCCAGGTGGGGCCCGAGAGCCGCCGGAGCGGCCGGGCGCGCACCAAGAGGGTCGGACGGCTCGGTGCGGGCCCTCTGGCTCTCGCTCGGGTAGAGGGACTCGGGGGACCTCGCCCCGGGGCCGAGAGCGCGCGCCCAGGCGGGCCGGGGACCGAGGAAGCGGCAGCTGGGAGGCACTGTCCCCGCCGCGGTCTGCAGCGCACGGAGCTCAGCGGCCCCAGAGCCGCACGTCCCCTCACCGGGACCGAGCGAGGGATGCACGATAGCTGAGCTGGGACTCGCGCCGAGAGGCCGTTTCGGCCCGGGTCTGAGACGCACGTCTTCGCCGCCACCGCCGCCGACACCCCCATTCCGGCGACTCTCGGGGACCGGGGGCGCCTAGCGCGGCTCCGGGCTCAGGACTCGGGCGATTCTCAGACGATGGTTTCTTAAGCACGGCACCACGTCCCCCTTCCCGCCCCCTCGACCGGAGGCTGGGATCCAGTGCGGGGCTCCGGGGAGCCAGGCTCCCCGAGGAGCCTCGGCTGCCGCCGCCCGGGCAGCTCGCACGGCCGCAGGGGCGCAGGGCGATGTGGCCTCCGGCCAACGCGCCGGCCCCCCCGGAGGATACCACGGCACCTGGCGGAGTCCCGGCCTAGCATGGCCCGCGCGCTGCCCGACGTCGCCTCCGGCTAGGATGGCCCCTCCGGCCCCGGCCGGCTCCCACCCCACCTCGGCCGAGCCGCTGTCCCGCAGCATCTTCCGGAAGTTCTTGCTGATGCTCTGCTCCCTGCTTACGTCCCTCTACGTCTTCTACTGCCTGGCCGAGCGCTGCCAGACCCTGTCGGGCCCCGTCGTGGGGCGGACGGGCGGTGGCAAGGAGGCGGGGGCCCCGGGTCGCGGCGTCCCGGCGGGAGGCGCGGGGGAGCCAGTGGCGTGGCCCGCGGTCGCGCGAAGGAAGCGCCTCCTGCAAATGCAGCCGTGGCCGAGGCGCTGGCCGCCCGCGCCGCGGGAAGACAGCGAGGTGGCGGCCTGGGAAGAGGAGCCCCCTGGCCTGGCGGGGAGTCCCGGCGGCTCCGGGGCCGGGAGCAGCGTGGCCGAGACGCCGCCGGGGACCCTGGCCCTGCTGCTGGACGAAGGCAGCAAGCAGCTGCCGCAGGCCATCATCATCGGCGTGAAGAAGGGCGGCACGCGGGCGCTGCTCGAGTTCCTGCGCGTGCACCCCGACGTGCGCGCCGTGGGCGCCGAGCCCCACTTCTTCGACCGCAGCTACGACAAGGGCCTCGCCTGGTACCGGTGAGCTGGGGCCGGAGAAGGCGGGCAGGCGGGGGCGGCCAGAGCCCGGGGTAGGGGCTTGAGGAGCCCGTGGTGACGCCCACCCAGTTCATCGCCCTCCCCGGTTTCATGCAGAGGGCAGAGGGCCCTCGGTAGCTGTCCTTAAGATGAGGGGTCTCCTTCCCCACGCTGCCTTCTCCCGGGGAAGAGGGAGCGGGTCGCAGGGAAATTTTGGCCTTGCAGATTTTGTCTTTAGTTCTTGGAATTCCCTTTTCCCCAAATAACCAATCTCATCATTTTCTCCTGCTTTGTGAAAGTTTCCCTGTGCGTAGCTAAAGAGAGAAAAAAAAGAAACATGTCTCTTCCAAGTTAGAAACCTGTTCACCAATTACTAGATACGTGAGCTAGTGGATCCCTTTCCCAAGGAAGCCTGTTTTTATTTCTTCTTCATCTTCTGGGCGATTCCCTGCGGTTAACGCAGCCTTTGCCATCATCGCCTGTTTATTTATTTACCTCAACTCTTTGCCTAATTGTCCTAGGTAGTAAGTAATATAGACACTGAGTTAAAGTGTCAAGAACTAGACTCTAGGTTTTGGGGAGATATATGTGAGAGCAGCGTGCTTTAAAGACGGCTTCGTTGGCAATAACTTTTGTTTGGGGCTAGGAATGACTTTGTATAAAATGCTTTCTGTATTTGTAGGGAAGAGTACCTTTTGTCTCTGGACTGGCAGAAACTTTTCTAAAGCTCTCCAAACAATTCCCTTTAAAAATGAGGTAGACAAAAGTTTTTGAAAGGAAGAAACGTGGGGAAAAATAGAGATCCTGGTTACATTGTGAAAAACTCTCCTAATACAGTGTAGGAAACAAGTCTGATTTAGGTCTTAACCTTAAACTTACCAGTCTTCTCAAATTCAAACCACCTTTAATAATAGAATAAGCCAAACTCTAATAAATCTTAGTGTCACCTGGATTTTGTTTGCCATAAAATATTGGCCTTTTTTTCTTTCCTCTGAGTATATGGAAAAATAGGCCAGAATTTTCCACTTTACAGAGTTTTATCTTGTTCATTAAATTTGCAGTCTCCTTGTTATCTTGACTGAAATCATAGGACAAAAGTTACAATACCATTTAAATATATTTCAAAAGCCCATTCAATTAACCGTTCATCCCCAAAAGAGAAATGGATGTGATTTGACAAGTTTATTTACTTGAGGGTCAAGCACAGGAAGCAAATTTACAGTAACCCAACTCATGAGAAAACGTTTGGTCCTAAAAGTCGAACTAGAACGTTAAACATGTTTAAAACAGTAACTTTCCATTTGTTGGAGAGGAAGACAAACAACCTTCCCTTGCTATAGAATATATATCATTTAAAATCATCAGCCACTTAAAAAATCCCCTTGTGTTTCTGTCATTTATGTTGTATCCTCTGGGAAGTTCTTATAAAAATGACCTGTTGAATCTGGAAACAACAGGTCCTTCTTCTTAGCACAAAGGCAGCTCTGTTTTTTCCATCAAGGACACAAGAAAGAAGTGATTAAAGACCCCTAAAACTCTTATCTATAGCACTTTGCATTGTATGTGGCCTGGTACAGGGCTATAAGTGAACACATTTCAAGCCGACTGCCCAAAAACATCTAAGACAGTGTTGGACTCTGAGGTGCTATTAAATATGGTGAAATATTTAGTACTAAAACCCTTTATTTTCATTTTGCTATATAGCCTTTATTTCCAGTCCTAGACTGTTTCTTCCTCGTCCAGAAATGAGTATTTGGGGGCACAGTGTATCCACAGAGCTGGATCTTATTTTCCGTTGACCTTTCTGAGCTTGTGTAAGAGAAGGAAGGTTTCAAGGTAACTAGAAACACAAGTACTTAAAAAAAAAAAAAAAAAAAAAAAGGAAAGGAAAAAAAGAAGAAAAAGTCATGAACTTTTAGGCTGCTGTCTCGTTTGGAAACTGGAGGCATGCTATAAAGTAAATATCTCCTTGGATTGTTTACTTCGGTAGAGGAGTTTTATAAAGCCAATTTATGGTGGTTACAAAAATAACTGCACAGTAGACTTCATGGTTTGGTGAATTTAATTTTCTAAGTGTTGGAGCAGTGTCTTTGTTTTACCATTTGCAGTGGTCTTTTATTGAACGCATAAATTTAAGTTTAACTCAATTACATGGAAAACTATTTAAGAAGTCCAACCTATGGGGCCTGGATTATGAGATTATTTAATGAAACTTTGCTACAGTTCTCTTTCGTCTCAGCCCTGAACTTGGAGTTAGGTGTTTTGTGAAAAAGACCGAAGACTTACTTACCTATGACAAAAAAATCACACAGAATGCCATTTAACTATAAGGCACGTTTTAGCTGCTTGTGTTTAGCCAGTATTTTAGGTAAAGGGATTCGGTAAGACCTTCTTGAGTCAGCCCAAATATTGTAATATAGGGTTTCTAACACACATTTATGACCAGACACAACACACACACACACACGAACAGAAATAAAACCCTAGTATTTGAACCCTGAAGTGAATTATAGAAGAGAAAAAAATTTGTACAATATTTTTTACATGCTCATTGACATGGGAGAATCATAATGTCTAGTCTTGTTTTTTCCGCCCAGTGAAAATTCTCTCAATTTTGCCGTAATAGTTTGTTGTGGCAGCGCCCCCTACCGTCCTGACAATGGGACAAATCTGTTGCTGCTGCGAAGTTGGAAGAAAATCTCTTGGAAACTGAGTTTGAGAGTTAAAAACGCCTGTTAGGATATGTCAGTAAATTTTTCTCTCTGGGAAAAAAACTAAAAGTACTTTATAAACTACATCCCAAGAACAGTGTAATCAATGGTTTCTTCGTTTGCACAAATGTGTAGTAAAGGCCAAGAAAACGAATTTATTTAAAGTCTCTGAAAAGGAAGTTATTCTTATTGATTTAAAAATGTCCTAATATTACTCTAAAATAAACGAAATAAAGGAACATTTTAATATGCCAGGAAATTTGTTGATGATAATTTAGGACGCTTCAGCAGACTTTTCTGGATATGAAACTCCACTCTGATGGGGTTTAAAAAAACATTCCACATTACTTAATTTAGCTGACATGATATCAGGACAACAAATGTCTGTGGCTTGCGTGTCACAGGAGAGCAGTCCTTCACTGTGAGCGGTCTCCATTTCCATCAGATGTGTGGTGGGTTCCTCAAGAAAAGGGGGGAATTGTTTCGTTACCTTCAGAACTTTGAGATCTTTTCTGCAAGTTAAGACCAAATGCCTCTGCTGTGGTTCAAGAGCAGGTGAACTTGGAATTCTAAAAGAAGCCCCCTCCCCTACTCTGCCTGTATATCTGCACCAACTAGAGGCCATGGTTATTTTTCTCCTAAGACAAAAGATATCTGTTTATAAAGTACTTAAAGATATGTGTGTGCTTATATATACTATGTACATACATATTTATATTTATATATGTATATGAATACAAACGTTTGGATTCTGTAACACTTCAGTTTTTTATTTGGGGACAAGATAGTAAGTGTTCATTATCTGATCTCTTGTGCTAGCATGTCTCTTTCCTATATTTTGACTCATTTTCTTTAGTGAGACTGGGTGATTTCCCCAGAGAAGAATGTCGCTAAACTTATTTTACTCTGTAGCATCCAGAAAGATCAAAGATTACTCAGCTTGGAGTTTAGGAGTTGGTCCTTTCCGTGGCTTCATCAGAATGTGAAATTTTCTGGCCCTTCCTGATGACTGCCTTGTTTATCAAGTCCACGGGAGAGGCAGGCTGAGCAGAGGCACTTCCGGTTCCTATGGGGGGGGGGGGCGATCGGCATCTCGGAGCAGCTGGGAGCAGCTGCAGAGTACCTCCGTGCGTACTTTCTCACCCTCCTGAGCCACCAGCCCTTCTACATGAAGGGTTGGAAGTGAAATTCGAGCCAAGGGAGTCTGGCCACCCATGCAAGGTCCTGGGGACTGACATCCAAAGGGGCTCTGTGTCCTCAGAGGGAAGCGAAGGACCTTGGAAGGGATAAGAGGTGGGGGT